CATGGGAAGTAAAGGTAACCTATCGAGTATAGACTGGGCTATAAACGAAATGAGCATCGCTACACTATACTCTGTGGGCGAAATAGTGCCTTTACATTTTCATCATCATCATCAGGTACATTGGCGACTGGCGTGGGCGATCATGCCTCTCCATAATCTGCTATCTCCTGCAGCATGTATCAGTTCGTGTGCCGACACACCTCCATGCCATGCAACAAGACTGTCAAGCATCTTCTCTCGTTGTCTTCCTCTATCCCTCCTTCCACAGATCTTTCCAGTAGTCACATGTTCTATTTTCCTTCTTCTTATAACATGGCAACTTCTCTAAGACCGGTCCCAAGCCTGGCTGTAAAAGGAGGAGGGTCTTGCTGAACCTGAGCGCTTCCGGAAGTAGTGGGTAACCGTGAATCAGCCAGACGGCCTGCATGGAGGCCGCAAGAAGGCAGCCCCTTCCACTATGCAAAGGCACAACAGACCAATTACCTGTTTGCCTTAAACCACGAATACAAATAACTGCAGAGAGAAAACTGGACGGATCTTAACGGCGACGAACTGGCATGGCTTACGGACTACGATTTACGGAACATGGAACATAAGAGCCATTAACTGGAAGGAAAACGAGTTAGTAGGGGAGATAAGGAAAGCAAAATTAGGAGTCTTGGCCCTGACTGAAACCAAGAAAAAGGGGCAAGGAATCACAGATCACGATGAAAGTATGCTGCTCTACAGTGGTGTATGACGGAGAGAGCCAGGGGAGGTGTTGGCTGTATTGTGGCCAGGAATCAAGTTAGTAACATCAAGGGATGGAAATTCATAGAGCAAATTATCGTGTTAGATCTGAAAGAAGAAGATAAAATTGTCAATATTGTTATTGTGTACGGGCCAAATGAAGATGAGCGAGTAGGTCGATGTTAAAGAAGAATTCTTTGAACTGCTCCAAAGAACCATAGATGACTGTCACGATGAAATTATCCTCCTAGGAGATCTAAATGCCAGAGTAGGAAATGATCACTCTAGATGGGGTGGAGTGATTGGGAGATATGGTGAAGATGTTTTGAATGATAATATTAGGCGACTTTTCAGATTCTGCAGGGAACAGAACCTTGTCATTACAAACACAAAATTTCCCCGCGGATCAAGGTCAGCATGGGCATACACAGCGCAAAGAATGGGGAAAACAATACATGAGGACAGCATGACAATGGAAATAACCGCTGCTTCTAGAGCTTTAGCGTGGGTATCCGAGCAAACCGCCACACAGGCAGTAATTTTCTCAGACTCACAGAATATGCTTCAGAAGATAGCAACAGGCAGTATGCGCTCTGAATGGATAGAAAGCATTGGGAAATCGCACTTAACCTCCGTAACCTAGATCTACACACCGGGTCATGCGGGCGTAAAGGAAAATGAGCGAGCGGACCAACTGGCAAGCACTGCACCAATGATTGCGGGAAAAAGCATGGACATAGCAGATATCGTCAACGATCTACGAACTGGGCTTGTGGAGAATAAGTAGAAGTACTTTGGAGTGGCTGCTGCTTCGGAGAACTGAGCACGCATGGGTATGCCTAATGTGCAGTGACAGCAAATGTGATAACAAAACATAAAATAACATCTTGTATGGAGTTGGCAGTCCGAAACCCAAGTTCAAGGTGTCTCCTTCGTGCCAAAGAACTGCATGGCTGTTGGATGAACAGTCGTTAAAGAAGGCAGGCAGGTCGTTGTAGGGGCGACGCCTGCTGGTGGATGTAATGTCCTAAGTCCCTTTCCCAGCTAATAATGAGGGTACTGCTGGGGTGACCGTTTATTAACCCTCATATAATGCTTCAGGTCAAAATGGACGCTAGGCACGGCAACCTATTTTTTTTCCAGACGGTGGCCGTTGCATTTTTGCTCCATTTGTAGACTGGAAGGATATAGTTTTGTCGCCCAGCTTCTGAGTTCAGTGCATGGCGTGACATTGTGAGCTACGTGTGTTTTTCGTTGGCACAGGAGTGGAGCAACTATGGGGTGACCCGTTTGCTATGAAGCTGAAACTAGGATTTCCAGATTACCAGATTACCAGATTACACAAGATGTAAACCTTCAAAGAATGAAAAATCCATCTTTGACTACGCCATAGTTAGGAAAAGTTCATTTCAGTTTGTGAGAGATGCCAGAGTCATGAGAGAACCAGAGATTGGAAGAGACCACTATCTGGTCACAATAAAGAGAACAATTTAAATAACTGCTCCAACAAGGCAACACCGACAACCATGCAAGAAACAAAGCAACTAAGAAGGGATGAGGATTAAGGCACACAAGCTAAGAGAGCCAGATATTAAGGCTAGATACTAGGAGCTTATAGTGAAAGCAATAGGAACTAAAGAAGAATCATCAAAGGACACTGAAACTCTCTGGTGCAGATTCAAGAATATCCTCACAGCAGCTGCAGTAGAAGCATGTGGTGAAGTCCCAAGTGGACGAAAGAGGTTAAATTAAAAATAGGAGGAACGAAAAGGTCATGGAAGCAATACCCGGCAGCCAGGAACACAGCTGAAGAAATAGAGAAATATAAACAATATGTGGCACTCAGAACAGAGACCTAAAATATTGTGCTTAAAGCAAAACAGAAATCATGAGAAGACAAAAGTTGGAAAAGAATGCAAGAGAAAACCAAAAACTGTTCTACAAGACCCTAAAGAACATGAGAAAGGAGAAAGAGTGTCCTCTAAAATTCATAAAAGACAAGGAAGGGGCTCTGCTTACTTCTACAAATAATATCATGGGCAGATGAAAAGAATACTTCTCAGAGCTCTTCGGCGTTGAGGAAAGTCATGTCCCAGAAATAATGGACCTCACTGCTGAGAAGGAAATCATCCATGGGAAAGATAACATCAGGATGGAAGAATTGAAGGCAGCTATTCAGAAGATTAAGCTGGGAAAAGCAGCAGGTCATGATGGTATAACACCAGAGATGGTCAAATATATGGGAGTCGCAGGAGAGCGCCTTATACTGAAGGTTCTCCAGGCAGCATGGTGTAGCAAAACTACACCAAAAGATTGGGAGATTGCCATCATTATACCTATATTTAAAAAAGGTGATAACAGACAATTTGAAAACTACAGAGGCATATCCATCCCCAGCGTTCCTGGTAAAAGTTACTCTAGAATTCTAGAACAGAGAGACTTAGAAGTCTGGTAGAGCCACAGCTGGACCAGGTCCAATGCGGCTTCATAGCAAACCGAAGTACTCAAGACCTTATCTTCACACTGAGACAGATGAGTGAAAAAGCCCTTGAATATAAGAGTGAGATGCACCTATGTTTTTTTTGGATTTGGAAAAGGCATTTGACAAGGTACCCTGGAACAAGCTCTGGGACTGCTTGGCAGGGAAAAATATTCCAGCATCCCTGATCAGTGCAATACAGAGTTTCTACAAAAAGTGCAGAAATTATGTAAGGACGGCAGACCAAAAGTCAGAAAAATTTAAGACCACCAGCGGTGTTAGACAAGGTGATATTCTCTCACTGTACCTCTTCATTCTTATGATGGATGATGTCATCAAGACCTGTAAGGAGAAGACAAAGAAGTACTCTGTAGGGTACTGCAAGATGAGACCAATCTGTATATCAGAGCTGGCATTTGCAGACGATGTGGCCCTGATAGCTAAATCGGAGGCACACCTTCAGTCCAACTTACTTGTCTGAAAGGCAGAGCTTGAAAAGAGAGGGACGACCATCAGTATCTCCAAAAATAAAACCATGGGGATCTCAAGAGAGGAAGAAACACCAGATCATGATGGGATAGTATGCAATGGAGCAGGTTAACCAGTTCAAATACCTTGGAGTTGTATTAGACCGAAACGGGAGCATTGAGACTGAGCTGGCTACACGAAAAGCAGCTGCTGGGAGACTTTTCCAGGCCATAAACCGAGGGTTTCTTAGCAAAAGAGAAGTTGGCAAGAGAACGAAAATGACTGTTTACCGCTCTACCTATGTACCAGTCCTGACCTATGGGTGTGAGTCATGGGCAATGACAGCAGCTCACAGAAACCAGCTGCAGGTCTCGGAAATGAGATATCTGAGAAAGGTGGTCCAAGTGACAAGAAGGGACAAAGTCGGCAATCAGACAATACGTCAAGATCTTGATACACAGTCCTTACAAACCCGAGTGGATCAGTGAGAGTTACGATGGTTTGGACATGTATGCAAAATGGGAGAAAATCGGCCACCGTGGCAAGCATGGGAGGCTAAGAACCAGGAAACAAGACGTCCCGGACGACCCAGGGAAGACAACATCCGACAGTCATTAACTGACAGAGGACTGGAATGGAACAAAGCCAGAAAGAAAACTACTGATAGAGACGTCTGGCGATCTCTCTGGCAAACCTCTACACCCCATGGTAGAAGAGGAGCGACTAAGTAAGCAAGCTATAACATGGCCGAAAAATGATGACTGTCTCCTTCTGATGTCTATGATAAGTTGTCTTTGGGCTCCCGCCTCTTTCAAGACCTCTTGGTTGCTCTTTTTGGCTGTCCAAGGTATTCTAAGCATTCTTCTGAAAACCAAATCTCGGAGTCCTTCTAGAAATTGTTTGGCCTGCCCACCAATTGTCCAGCATTCACAGCCATATGTTAAAACTGGATGTATGTAGCAAGCAAGAATTCTTTTACTAACTCTCAATGAAAAGGATATATTGCACAAGATTTTTTTCATTATATAAATTGCAGTTTTTGCCTGTCCATCTCTGTTTCTTTCTTCAGTTATGCATTTTCCATCTGATATTATAAATGTGCCCAGATACTTAAATTTCTGTACTTGTCCTAACATAACACCATCGACTCTTATTACACATTTAGGAATAATTTGTTTCTTTGATACCACCATTACTTTTTACACTGTGTTAAAAAAATGAGCTTATCTTGTAAATATACAGTAATGGAAATCAGTAAATAGATAGATTTTCAAAAAATAATGAAACTTACATGTGATTCACATATTTATATTATACAGCGTACCTTTGTCACAGAATGGTCCCGGCTTTCCTGACTGACAAGACAGGCAGGTTCCGTCATTTGATTGACAGAGTTGGTCTTTACAGTTGGTGCTGCATTTCTGTGAGCAGTCAACTCCGTAATATGATTGGCTACAGGCTATATAAAATATAAAACGGTCAGTTTTGTTTATTGTTTAGATATTAAAAGGCAAGCAATAAATAATAAATTAAGTACTTATTCTAGTACATATATATATTATTATATGATATAACTATAAATATATATGCATGTGTTTAAACTAATATATGTTATAAATTTAAATAAAAATATATAAAACATTTAAATACTTGATGGAAGATTATCATTGGCATAGTTTACGATAAGTTGTCACCTGTGACTAATATTCAACTATAATAATGGACATCACAGCACTTGGGGCATTCCCATGCGTGCTCCGTCCTCATCTTCAGCAGCCAGCGCAGAGTTATATCGTTGTAATGAGATCTATCAAGGATACGCCCAGATTTGTAGTTGGACGTCATTACATAAACAACCTGTGTTATGCTCATGACACTGTCTTGATAGCGTCAAAAAGAAGTACAGGAATTTATAGACACGGAGATGGTAGAAACTAAAAAAATGGGCCTTAGTTTGAATAATAGAAAAGCAGAAGTAATGGTGATTTCCAAGAAATCAATAGTATCTAAATGTATAATAGTAGTCAAAGGCATTTTTTTGGGACAAGTACATAAATTTAAGTATTCAGGCATATGGATAATATCCGACCGAAGATGTATCATAAAGATGAAGAACAGAATTTGACAAGCCAAAACTGCATTTATAAAATGAAAAACATGTTACGCAATAAATCCATGTCATTGGAGGTTAGGAAAGAATTCCCGCATGCTATATAGAACCAGTTTTAACAAACGGCTGTGAATCCAAGACAATAAATAATTAACAAGCCAATGAATATCTTAAGGCATCGGAGCTATGGTTTTACCGAAAAATTCTTAGAATTCATCAGACAGCTTTAAGGAGCAACCCAGATGTTTTAAAAGAGGCAACTTATCACAATTATCAGAAAGAGACAGTCAAAATTTTTTGTCACGTTATGAGAAGAGAGAAGTTGTGACCACTAGCAGGGGAAGACAACGAAATTCCTTTTTAGAGCAATGCCTTGACAAACAGATAGGCAGACCAGTCGGCAACTTAATGCTTAATAGTACATATATACCTTTCATATATATATATATATATATTGTATCTATATATATATATATATGCTTACCTCATGAAGCAATACGACAGACTATTTAATGTCTACACGTGCAACAAACAATTTCGATCATAGAGGGTAGAGATATCAAATATTTGTTTCAATGATATTGATCTAACACACAGAGACTTATTAGAAAGGATTCTTGAAAATATTAAGACATGTTACTAGTGGCTATATTGTAGGAAAAATACTATTTGTCAAATGCATACAGATAGAGAGGAACAGATGTGCTGGGGCAGGTCAAATTTTACGGTTCGCTGAGTGAATTTTAACAGACATAAATGTCATATAGAAACAACATTGCAGATATAGATAATTTTTTTCAAGCGAAAGAAAAAAGAAAAAAAAAAAAGAAGAAGAATGTGCTAGGCATATGTTTAGAATACTGCAAAATCGTGAAATAAATACCTGGTCAACATCTAAAAGGATCTAATACAAGACTAAGATGAGGCAGAAGTAGGGCATCGATTGACTACATTAAAGTCAAATCCTTGTCAATGGCATTAGTCAGTGACACCAACCCAAGGCTGGAAAACCAATTATTCCTTCCAGTTATTCTTCTTGTAGATGTGATGTGATTTGATTTGATTCAAGAACCGACATCACAGCACTCGGGGCATTTCCATAAGCGCTTCGTCCCCGTCTTCAGCAGCCAGCGAAGAGTTGCGATACTAATGATGCCAGTAGCATTCTGTTTAAACATCCGTTTCGCCTTTTCTCTGAGCCTCGAGCATCGGCCAGAACCTCTCGTCACCCCCAACTGCATCAATCTCAAAAGACTGTGGGAATCCATTTGCTCCTCCGATTTGTACACGCTCTCCCACAAGGCACTAACCACGTCTGCCTTATCATGTATCAGTATTCCACCAAGTTGTGCAGAGCCAGCCAGTCTGTCCGCCTGTTCATTTCCCTACATACAGGCGTGACCCGGTGAAAAAATCCAACCAATACTCCTCACTAGTGTTCTCCGCAGCGAAGCATGCCACTCTGCACGAAGCATAACCTGTTCTGATCTTTTTCAGCATGCTTTCTGAATCAGTTACAATCACGATGTGTGTGTGTGTGTGTGTGTCGCGTTCTCTAGCCAGCGGAAAGCTGCACTGACCGCCTTCACCTCTATTCTTAAGCTGGATGTTGTGGTATCATATGCTAGGCTCTCCTGCACCAAACGTCGACCATGAACTTTTGCTAAGAAGCCCCAAGCACTTCTTTTGCCTCTTGACACTGAACCGTCTGTGTAAATGATCAAATCCTGTGAGCGAGCATTATCTTGAATTAATTGCTGAATTACCACCTCTGTAGCACCTGCTGGCCAGTCTCTGCATTCCCGACTCAGCGTGATTATGACTCTACACAAGTCTGACTGTTCAGGTGGCACTCTGACCCACTCCTCTCCTCGCCTAATGTTCTCAAGGATGTTAACCTGTCTGATTGTTCTTCTGCCTGAGCCATCCATGACCTCCCTTGTATCAGCCGCTGACCCAAACTGCACCCAGAGCTTCATGCAGATGGTGGTCTGTGTCTGCAGCTACCCTGAGAAATGACTTCGCCTGCGGCACCTAGTGCCTACCTGCAACCGTCGGCAATTCAAGGATGTATCGCATACACACCACTGGGGTGTCTCTGGTGCCACCCAGAATGACCCGCATAGCCGCGTTCTGTATGCGCTCTAGTTTGTCTATCTGACTCTTTGAGACGGTCTTCTTGTAGATAATACCTTATGGCGTTAGTATTCATGTCTTTCAACGACTTTCTCTCTCATATGTCTCTAGCTCTGTTTCCCTCCAGCTTTCCGAGCGTAACAATGTACTTCATTTTTATTCAAGCAAAATAGATTGTCTACTTATGATGTCGGCAATCATATCTCTTCGTCAGTCTGTTTCTTTCACGATATCTTCATAAATCATTTGATCTGTTCACTAAAAATTAGGGAAACAAATTGCCTTATATGGAAACATATGGAGAATTTTTAAAAGCCTAGAACTAGTACCGGTAATTCAGAAATAACATAAAATTTTGGATTAATCTTGGTACTATTTTACTGAAACAAACACTGACAATGTTGATTTTCATGAAATTAAATATTTGTGATAGAATGCACAATACTTGAAAAAAAAAATGTAATGTGTTTGAATATCAGCAGTTAACAGTTTAAAAACCAGGACATGTGATAACATTTGTTAGATCCTTACGTGTTTTGCATCCTTCCCCGTGGTAGCCTGCAGCACAGCCCGAAGGACATCCTCCAGTACTGACAAAACACGGTTCAGCCTTCTCACAGTTACACGTGCTTTCACATTCTTTTCCGTATTTTCCCACCGGACACACCGCGTCTGTTTGGGAAAGTCGGGTTTGGTGTACAGTCAATAAATGTAAAGACTATGACAAAAAAGGAAATTATTCATTGTGTTTGTAATGTCCAGCAGCAATTTCGTTTTGCATCCACATGTACTTTACGGCAACCTAGTGGCTAGCGAACCTCCCATGCGACTATGTGAGGGAAAACTAAAAAAAAAAAAAAAAGCTATAAAAAAGTCATCCAACAACACATATCGAAAATGCCTTGTAGTGTCGACAGGTGTTTTTATTCTATTTTATTTGTTGGCACTCGTGCGATACTTTTCTATGGAAAACATTGACATTTGACGGCTGTTATCAGTCTGTTTACGTGTGAGGGCTAGTTTTCATGTCAGAGATCTCTGGTGGTCAACTTTTTACTTCAGAAATCAATTACAATCTACACACACTATAGAGAAAATCAAACAACAATAATTTTCTGTACAGATAGTACAACTCTGACAACAGCGGGTAACCTCTCACGCCTTGCCGGTCGCCAAGTAGATCTCAGCTGAGTTTACATTATTGTGCTCGGGATATTTGACACCCCTCCAGTCGCCCCCCCCCCCCATTTTTTCAATATTTTATTACATAATACGAGGTACTCGATGAGATATCTGGTCAATATCACACGATCCTTTTTAACATATTGACTTCTGATACACATTTAAGACTTGTATGGTATGGAAGACTCAGATCACTTTACAAATTCCCCCTTGGTCATCATTCCAACTAGTAACAACCATGCCTGCAGATATCAATGTGAGGAACAATCGAGACGACCATGTACAGCCTCATAGTATTGAATATATGCAATATTGTTGGCCCTTCCCCCCCCCCCACCCCACCTCCTGCTTGTGTCGGTTTTTGTGAGTTTTTATGTTCTTTGTGCCGTTATGCATCGCAGTTTAACAGTAGATGTTAGGCAGAGCTGAGGCGCACTAGTTCAATCTCCGTTCACAAATTTAACAATGAGTACCATTCTAAAGCGGCGTCCGTGGCTAAGGCGTTGCGAGTCCGACTCGTGAGCCAGCATACCGCGATCGAAACCCACTGTAGGCTGCGTGGACTTTTGTCGTGTTATGGGACGTCGCAGGTCGACCCAGCCTAAAATGGGTACAAGGATGGGCTGTCCTGGGAAAGTAAAGACAGCCGGCGTAATGCTGACCTCATAGAGTAGGAAATGATCACTCTAGATGGGGTGGAGTGATTGGGAGATATGGTGAAGATGTTTTTAATGATAATATTAGGCGACTTTTCGGATTCTGCAGGGAACAGAACCTTGTCATTACAAACACAAAATTCCCTCTTGGATCAAGGTCAGCATGGGCATACACAGCGCAAAGAATGGGGAAAACAATACACGAGGACAGCAGCGCTTACCAGACAATCACTTCAAGCATGACAATGGAAATAACCGCTGCTTCTAGAGCTTTAGCGTGGGTATCCGAGCAAACCGCCACACAGGCAGTAATTGTCTCAGACTCACAGAATATGCTTCAGAAGATAGCAACAGGCAGTATGCGCTCTGAATGGATAGAAAGCATTCGGAAATCGCACTTAACCTCCGTAACCTAGATCTACACACCGGGTCATGCGGGCATAAAGGGAAATGAGCGAGCGGACCAACTGGCAAGCACTGCACCAATGATTGCGGGAAAAAGCATGGACATAGCAGATATCGTCAACGATCTACGAACTGGGCTTGGGGAGAATAAGTAGAAGTACTTTGGAGTGGCTGCTGCTTCGGAGAACTGAGCACGCATGGGAATGCCTAATGTGCAGTGACAGCAAATGTGATAACAAAACATAAAAAAAACATCTTGTATGGAGTCGGCAGTCCGAAACCCAAGTTCAAGGTGTCTCCTTCGTGCCAAAGAACTGCATGGCTGTTGGATGAACAGTCGTTAAAGAAGTCAGGCAGGTCGTTGTAGGGGCGACGCCTGCTGGTGGATGTAATGTCCTAAGTCCCTTTCCCAGCTAATAATGAGGGTACTGCTGGGGTGACCGTTTATTAACCCTCATATAATGCTTCAGGTCAAAATGGACGCTAGGCACGGCAACCTATTTTTTTTCCAGACGGTGGCCGTTGCATTTTTGCTCCATTTGTAGACTGGAAGGATATAGTTTTGTCGCCCAGCTTCTGAGTTCAGTGCATGGCGTGACATTGTGAGCTACGTGTGTTTTTCGTTGGCACAGGAGTGGAGCAACTATGGGGTGACCCGTTTGCTAAGAAGCTGAAACTAGGATTTCCATATTACCAGATTACCAGATTACACAACATGTAAACCTTCAAAGAATGAAAAATCCATCTTTGACTACGCCATAGTTAGGAAAAGTTCATTTCAGTTTGTGAGAGATGCCAGAGTCATGAGAGAACCAGAGATTGGAAGAGACCACTATCTGGTCACAATAAAGAGAACAATTTAAATACCTGCTCAACAAGGCAACACCGACAACCATGCAGAAACAAAGCAACTAAGAAGGGATGAGGATTAAGGCACACAAGCTAAGAGAGCCAGATATTAAGGCTAGATACTAGGAGCTTATAGTGAAAGCAATAGGAACTAAAGAAGAATCATCAAAGGACACTAAAACTCTCTGGTGCAGATTCAAGAATATCCTCACAGCAGCTGCAGTAGAAGCATGTGGTGAAGTCCCAAGTGGACGAAAGAGGTTAAAATTAAAAATAGGAGGAACGAAAAGGTCATGGAAGCAATACCCGGCAGCCAGGAACACAGCTGAAGAAATAGAGAAATATAAACAATATGTGGCACTCAGAACAGAGACCGACCTAAAATATTGTGCTTAAAGCAAAACAGAAATCATGAGAAGACAAAAGTTGTGGAAAAGAATGCAAGAGAAAACCAAAAACTGTTCTACAAGACCCTAAAGAACATGAGAAAGGAGAAAGAGTGTCCTCTAAAATTCATAAAAGACAAGGAAGGGCTCTGCTTACTTCTACAAATAATATCATGGGCAGATGAAAAGAATACTTCTCAGAGCTCTTTTCGGCGTTGAGGAAAGTCATGTGCCCCCAGAAATAATGGACCTCACTGCTGAGAAGGAAATCATCCATGGGAAAGATAACATCAGGATGGAAGAATTGAAGGCAGCTATTCAGAAGATTAAGCTGGGAAAAGCAGCAGGTCATGATGGTATAACACCAGAGATTGGTCAAATTTATGGAAGTCGCAGGAAGAGCGCCTCATATACTGAAGGTTCTCCAGGCAGCATGGTGTAGCAAAAACTACACCAAAAGATTGGGAGATTGCCATCATTATACCTATATTTAAAAAAGGTTGATAAAGATGAGTGAATTTTAACAAGACAATACATGTCATATAGAAACAACATTAGCATGATATAGATAATTTTTTTCAAGCAAATACAGAAAAAAAAAAAAAAGAAGAGAAAATGTGTCTAGGCATATGTTTAGAATACTGCTAAAATCGTGAAATAAATTACCTGGGCACAACATCTAATAAGGATCTAATACCAAGGACTAAGATGAGGGCAGAAGTAGCGGCCATCGATTGCACACTTTAAAGTCAAAATCACTTGTCAATGGCATTAGTCAGTGGACACCAACCCAAGGCTGGAAAACCAATTATTCCTTCCAGTTATTCTTCTTGTAGATGTGATGGTGATTTGATTTGATTCAAGAACCGACATCACAGCACTCGGGGCATTTCCATAAGCGCTTCGTCCCCGTCTTCAGCAGCCAGGCGAAGAGTTGCGATACTAATGATGCAGTAGCATTCTGTTTAAACATCCGTTTTCGCCTTTTCTCTGAGCCTCGAGCATCGGCCAGAACCTCTCGTCACCCAAACTGCATCAATATCTCAAAACGACTGTGGGAATCCATTTGCTCCTCCGATTTGTTACACGCTCTCCACAAGGCACTAACCACGTCCTGCCTTATACATGTATCAGTATTCACCAAGTTGTGCAGAGCCAGCCAGTCTGTCCCGCCTGTTCATTTCCCTACATACAGGCGGACCCGGTGAAAAAATCCAACCAATACTCCTCACTAGTGTTCTCCGCAGCGAAGCATGCCACTCTGCCACGAAGCATAACCTGTTCTGATCTTTTTTCAGCATGCTTTCTGAATCAGTTACAATCACGATGTGTGTCGTGTGTGGTGTGTGCGCGTTCTCTAGCCAGCGGAAAGCTGCACTGACTGCCTTCACCCTATTCTTAAGCTGGATGTTGTGGTATCATATGCTAGGGCTCTCCTGCACCAAACGTCGACCATGAAACTTTTGCTAAGAAGCCCCAAGCACTTCTTTGCCTCTTGACACTGAACCGTCTGTGTAAATGATCAAATCCTGTGAGCGAGCATATCTTGAATTAATTGCTGAATTACCACCTCTGTAGCACCTGCTAGGCCAGTCTCTGCATTCCCGACTCAGCGTGATTATGACTCTACACAAGTCTGGACTGTTTTCAGGTGGCACTCTGACCAACTCCTCTCCTCGCCTAATGTTCTCAAGGATGTTAACCTGTCTGATTGTTCTTCTGCCTGAGCCATCCATGACATCCCTTGTAGCAGCGCGCTGACCCAAACTGCACCCAGAGGTTCATGCAGATGGTGGTCTGTGTCTGCAGCTACCCTGAGAAATGGACTTTCGCCTGCGGCACCATAGTGCCTACCTGCAACCGTCGGCAATTCAAGGATGTATCGCATACACACCACTGGGGTGTCTCTGGTGCCACCCAGAAATGACCCGCATAGCCGCGTTCGTATGCGCTCTAGTTTGTCTATCTGACTCTTTGAGACGTTCTTCTGTAGATAATACCTTATTGGCGTTAGTATTCATGTTCTTTCAACGACTTCTCTCTCATATGTCTCTAGCTCTGTTTCCCTCCAGCTTTCCGAGCGTAACAATGTACTTCATTTTATTCAAGCAAAATAGATTGTCTACTTATGATGTCGGCAATCATATCTCTTCGTCAGTCTGTTTTTTTTCTTTCACGATATCTTCATAAATCATTTGATTCTGTTCACTAAAAAATTAGGGAAACAAATTGCCGTATATGGAAAACATATGGAGAATTTTTAAAAGCCTAGAACTAGTACCGGTTAATTCAGAAATAACATAAAATTTTGGATTAATCTTGGTACTATTTTACTGAAACAAAACACTGACAATGTTGATTTCATGAAATTAAATATTTGTGATAGAATTGCACAATACTTGAAAAAAAAAATGTAATATGTGTTTGAATATCAGCAGTTAAACAGTTTAAAAACCAAGGACATGTGATAACATTGTTAGATCCTTACGTGTTTTGC